GGAGGGACCCCTGCACGGCCAGGTGCTGCCTGGTTGAGACAGCTGGGATGTGTTTTGTAGGTAGCTTCAAGATCACTCTTAGAGCCCAATATGCAAAAGAGCCCAATCAATTAGTTTAATTAACATGACGTCTGTGGGTGTGTCTGCAATAGTCTGCTTTGATTTGCTTGTGTGTTGCAAATAATGATTTTTCTTTTCCAGTTTATTAAAACTAGCGTGTAAGCCTAAGCCAAAAGCGTATGGTTTCCTTTGTTACACAGCTGTGTATAGTTGTGAAGTGTTTTTAATAATTTATCATTTCAGGATCAGGATGGCCAGACAAGAAAGGCAGCTGCTGGTTAATTTGAAAACGAACTATCCCGATGTGGTGGTAGATATTGGAAAAATAGCTTTAGGAGAGAGATCCAGAAAGAAGACCTCGTGCAATCAGAGAAGGCAACGAAAGGAGCTTTCTGTAGCCGTGTGTGCGTTGCTGAATTCAGGAGGAGGAATAGTGAGGATGGAGAGTGAAGACAAGAATTACTGCTTTCAGGAGCACGGCATTGGTCTGGACATAGAGCAGAGCCTCAGGGCGTGCATTGACTGCACCCAGACCAGCACATACTTCACATGGATGCAGCAGGGGAGTTACTTGCTGCTTTTTGTTAAAACATGGAGCTGTGGAGGTCCAGAGCAGAAAAGTGCAGCCACAAAGCCACGTATCTGTAGCTTGAGCACTGGTTTGTCCTGTAGGGCCTTCAGTTCGGTTGTTTCTATGGCTTCAAGTGATGCTGCTGTATTTCTGAGCAAGAGGGAAAGCAGTGCCAAGTGCCATGTTGAGAATGGGCCAAGTGCTAAGAAAGCTCTGCTGAATTTTGATGGGGGAGCAAACACCGAGGAGCACAACATCCAAGATGCCGCTGCCAGGTTTTTAAAGAGAGACAAAGTGATGGTTGGGGAGGTCCTGAATTTCACAGAGACAAAGCATATTGAATTTAAGAATTTTTCTACAGAAAATATCTTGGAATACATTAGAAAAACCCTTCCAAATTATGTCTCTGCCTTTGCAAACAGTGAGGGTGGTTATTTATTTTTCGGAGTGGATGACAGCAAGAAAGTCGTGGGAAGCCATAGGAAAGTGGAGAAAGAAGCTTTAGAAAAAACAGTAGCTGACACCATGACCTCAATGCCCATCCATCACTTCTGCGGCTCTCAGGCTGGCGTGCAGTTTAAGACTTACATCCTGAGCGTTTATGACAAAGCAGAAGGCTTGCAGGGCTACGTATGCGCTGTGCGAGTTGAACCGTTCTGCTGCGCTGTTTTCCATGATAACCCTGAATCCTGGATGGTGATGGGTGAGAGGATCGAAAGACTGAGCATCAGGAAATGGACGGAGTTCATGACAGCTGCAGACCCAGGTAAAATCTGCATTTACATCAGTGCCAACTTCATTTCAGTCTTCGTTTGTAAACTTTCAGGAGGAAAGACCAACTTCTTCTGTTCTATGTTCTCCCCAAACCTGGAAAAGGGCCTTTGGCCCGTGGCACAGTCACAGGGCCCGGGGATGACGGTACGGTAGCTGGCCTCCAATGGCAAACCGTTCTGTGAAACATTGCTTTCAAAAAGCAGGACTTTTTGAAGCACTCCCAACTGGAATAAGACTTCCTAGGGATCCCGTATACCCCTAAATGAAGAGGAAGGATTCAAAATCACCTAGGAGCTTCCATTACTCTTAATGAGAATTGCAGAAAACTTTTGAGGCTGGCTTGGTCTGTTAAGATGCTTAGGAGGGAGTGATGTCCTGGTGGAAATCTGGCCCCTTTAGGTGCCTAAAAGGGGTTTATTTTGAAAAACCAGAAAGTGCTTACTGGTGCTGATCCCCATGGAGTGAAATCCCCAGTGCTTGATGCACTAGCAAGGATTAATCTCCATCCCCTGGTTTGATCTGTGTAGATCCAGCATCTTGGCACAAGTTGTGTGCCAGCACTAAAGTGAAATAATCATTTTAGTTGTAATGGTGATGTCAAACTGTCCCGCAACTTTTTTTCAACTGCTAACAACATCTGTAATGAAGTCAGCAACACTAGGGTAGCTAGTAAAACCTGGTGCGTTGTCTCTTCAGAGATCAGCTTGAGGTTGAGAGAAATCCTTTCAAGTCTGCAGCTCAGCCAGAACGCTCAGTACGCAGCAGGTTGCAAACCGCTCCCCCTTTCTGAGGCTCACGCGCGTTTCCGATGTCTACTGAAATGTCACTTTGCACACCCGGTGTGGCTCCGTGGTTGTTAAAAGCTGTTTTGAAGGAGCAGACATGCAAGGCTTTGCTTATTTTAAGGCATGTTGTCCCGCTTCATTGTGAAATCCTTCCCCTTCAAAAGCTATGTCCTGCATTTTGTTCCGTCACCTCACAACAAGACCTGTATGGCAGGTCCTAGAGAGTTTATTCCGATCACGGATTTGAATAGGAGTTTTTCAGTTGTAAGATGAAACTAACCCTCCTTTCCTACGGGTTCCCTGTAACACAAATTTCCCTCGAGTGTGTGCCCGTGGCAGTAACAGCAGGAGTATACTAGCCAAAGGGGACCTCCTGTCCCAGTGGAGCCCTGGCTTGCCAGGCAGCTCTGGCCTTGGGTGAAACCTCTCCTGTGGCCCTGGTCTGCACTTAGAGCTGGGATGTCTGGTCTCTTCAAAGGACACAGGCACACAAAAGACAGAGAGGGTGATGTTGGTAGGAGGGGAACAAAGCAGCAGGGTCTTTTGGAGATGGGCGTCTACCGAAGAGACCTGTGGTAAACGTGGGTGGTTCCTGTAGGGTGCTGGTGTGCTGAACTGGCATGTCAGGCGTCTCTTACCTGTGCACTGGGGTCTCAACAAACTCATCCCGTGTGGGGTCTAGATCTTGCCTGTGAACTGCAAAGTCATCTATGCTGTGAGCCTTCTCTCTTCTACAGCAAATCAAGATCCTGTTGGTTTGATGGAATATTGTCATTCTTAACTATGTAGGCAGTATTTTCTTGAGTAGGATTGCGAAGGGAGGTTTTAAATTAATCCTTTTAGTTACTCTTTAGTGCTGGGTTTTAAAAGTTCATATGGAAGGATTTTGATGGATATAACATACTTTTTTCTTCCTCCAAGATCTTTCAAATCTGGCTGATAAATTTGAGAATGAGCTCAGCTTGGCGAATGGTCCTCCTCTTATCAAGCCAGTTTATTCAAAAGCTGGTCTCCAGTGTGTGTCTGAACTCCAAGAATGCCTCTACCCAGGTAAGCCATTTATTCTGGACATTTTTTTTTAATTTAAGATTGTATTTGACAGAACTTGTAGGAAGATAACGTGATACAAATGTAAGATTTTAGGCGAACAACTGTTAGGGTATTTAAAAGATGCAACTACACCAGGAATGTTGATTTCCCAGATTTTTCAGGTGTTTTGATCTCTTCTCCCATTTTTGCCACTAAGTATAATCCCTAATGCACACAGTTGCTGAGAATATACCTAATGTCCCAGGGGTTTGAGCACTGTCTGCCCCTTGTTATGCTTAAAAGTCATCTTACAGACAAAAAAGAGAGAGCGAGAGAATAATTTATTTCTAGCATAATGGAACTCTAAGTAGCCTAATCAAAGAATTATTATTAGTCAAGATCTAGTTATTACAGATAAAGAAAGAAAAAGACAATAAATGAATACCACTGTGGAAAAAAAAATAATAATAGTTACTCGCACATTTCCTAGAATCCACCCCTGTTCCTGGCGTTACACTCAGCCTTCCACCGCCGCTCGGGATCCTGCTGTTGATGGCTCCGGTCTGCTGGGGGTTGTTAGGGCGAGTCGTCAGCATCCCCGGTTCTTTTGTTGGGAGTACGTAGTTTATGCTGATGGTTTCTTTTTCCTACTCCAGGATCCGCTTGGGGTCACTTGCTGTAGACTTGCTAACACACTTTTACACCTTGTTCTTTCTTCTCTGGTCTGCAAGTTCACTGCTCCAGTGGAGTTTAATAAAGATGCCATGTTTCACAGAAGTTAAATACTTGTTCTCTGTTACCCTTAAAACCAGTTTTGTTCAGCTCTGGGGAAGCATTTCTTTATCTGACCATCTAAGAGCTGTTTCTGAGCTTGGGATCTCCTGTGCTCTGTCTCTCACTGCCCCATACCTGAATTCAGCCCTGCATCTTGTATCCTACATCTCAAGATCTCTGCTGTCCTACCAGACCTGTATTTCTGTACTCTGCATCATCATGCGCTAGGCAGAAAGATCTCATCCTGTGCAGAAGACCTGCTTGTTGCTACTGTCTGTATAAATTGATGGTTGTTATCCACCTGGTTATTAGAATAAAATGCTATTACAGGCAAACCAAGTAAAAACAAAGCTCCAAAAAGGTCAACAAAAATTCAAACAAAGCAACCAGACAAGCCTCTGACCTGAGGCCTTGCAAACTCAGTACACTTTCCATGGCTTGATAGTAGCAATGCTGTATTGCTGGTCTGCAGGGCTGATCACCAAGTATTTGGGTGTCGGATGTCTGATCTGCTAAGACATTTATCTCGCCCAGTAAGTTAATTCTGCCACCCTGCTCACTGCTACAGGGGAACTTCAGGCTGGGACACACAAGGGAAAGTAAAGAGCAGCCCTTACCATGCAGGGGTGGAGAACCGTGCCTTGGGTTTATTTTTTAGGTGAAGACTTTGATTATTTCAGAAACACTTCAGTTATAAAAGCAGCAATGGTTGCTGAGCAACAGATACTCCCACACACCAAGCCCTGAAAGATAAGGGAATAGAAGTAGCCAAGGGCAATGTAAATCCTACAGTGTTCCTGCAGAGCAGGGCTGTGTCTTTAGGTCCAGCTCTGACACACAGGGGAGCGACATGGAATTCCAGGTCCTTGTGCAGTATCAGAACCGCTCCAATCAGTAGCAAACAGATACTTTCTCATTAAACATAGTCCATGGATTATTTTTTTCCAAATTCTGACCTATGGATGTCTGTATTAATTGCTAATTTTTCTAATTATTTTTGTAATTTTGCTATCTTTCCACATCTCTTTTCAGGATTACTCTGAGATGATTGGTTTACTGATTGGTTAGTAGTGTTTTGGTACAGGATATGCAATTGCTGTTTCTTGATGAGAATGTGTTTTTTAAATGGAAGGCTGTGAGACAGTGTAAATGTCCACTTGCATTTGACATTTGTCTGTGTGTTATGACTGTGCATTGCTGTAATTTTAATCTGTAAATTTAAGAGATGAGCCAGTAGGGAAGAAGACCAGCCTGGCTGAACAGAGAGTTTTGGCTGAAACTCAGGGGAAAAAAAGAGTTTATGACCTTTGGAAGAAGGAGCAGGCAACTCCAGAGGACTACAAGGATGTCATGAGGTTATGCAGGGAGAAAATTAGAAGGGCCAAAGCCCAACTAGAACTTAATCTGGCTACTGCAGTGAAAGACAATACAACTGTTTCTATCAATACATTAGTAACAAAAGGAGGGCTAAGGAGAATCTCCACCCTTTAGTGGATGTGCAGGGAAACATAGTGACGAAGGATGAGGAAAAGGCTGAGGTACTTAACGCCTTCTTTGCCTCAGTCTTTAGTAGCAAGACCAGCTCTCTGCGTACCCAGCCCCCTGAGCTGGAAGATGGGAATGGGGAGCGGTACGAAGCCCCCATAATCCAAGGGGAAATGGTCAGCAACCTGCAACATCACTTAGACACACACAAGTCCATGGGGCCGGATGGGATCCGCCCAAGGGTGCTGAGGGAGGTGGCGGAACTGCTCACCAAGACCCTTTCCACGGCTAACCAGGGAGGTCCCAGTTGACCAGAGGTTGGCAAATGCGACGCCCATCTACAAGAAGGGCAGGAAGGAGGATCCGGGGAACTACAGCCCTGTTGGCCTGACCTTGGTACCGGGGGCGGTTATGGAGCACATCATCTTGAGTGCCATCGCGCTGCCCATACAGCACAACCAGGCGATCAGGCCCAGTCAGCACGAGTTTACGAAAGGCAGGTCCTGCTTGACTGACCTGATCTCCTTCTAGGACAAGGTGACCCGCTTAGTGGGCGAGGAGAAGGCTGTGAATGTCGTCTACCCAGACTTTACTAAGCCTTTGACACTATTTCCCACAGCATTCTCCTGGAGAAACTGGCTGCTCTTGGCTTGGACGGGCGTACTCTTTGCTGGGTCAAAAAAAACGCTGGGTGGTTGGGCTCAAAGAACGAAGGTGAATGGAGTCAAATCCTGTTGGCAGCTGGTCACAAGTGGTGTTCCCCAGGGCTCAGTAGTGGGACCAGTTCTATTTAAATTCTTTATCAATGATCTGGACGAGAGGATC